CCCCCCCCCCCCCCTCTCTCTCTCTCTCTCTCCAGCAAAAATCATTCACATTCCACAAGAGACTACTGGGGCTGCAGGCTATCCATGTTGATGTCTACCACCACATAGCTCTTCCCTCCACAGGGAAAATGTACTCAATCCACAGCAGCTCACTTCACTAGCATTAACACTGGGTGCTCAGTCTTAAAATACCACAACTTATGTAATTATATAAACCCAATCAAATGACAGAAATTATCATATACATCTAAATCAACATATCTGCAGGAATCGTTGCTCAAGGTTTACCCTCATGAAGTAATTTGCAAATAAGAAATGAATGCCCAGCAGTTCAATTTTATTAAGCCAAGCAAAGAAAACATTGTACATAGAGGTTAAGATTTGTATGATTAGGTTACAGGACAGTTGGCAAATGCAAGAAAATTGTTGAGGACCCTGAAAAATTATAAATAGTATTTTTTTTGTCTTTTTTCACATCAAAAGCCTGTGATAAGCTAGCCTATTTTGAGCTATTTTCAGGAAGTGGAATTCTGACCAAAAAAGAGAAATATCTCACCACTTATCTCTACCCTATCGACTACAAGTAAACATTGTGGCCAGTCTATTTGAAGTCTATAAGTGCCTGCAGTTGTATGAAGGTTCTTCCTGTTTTTTTACAGTCTATTAAGGAAGTGTGTGCATTCCTGGGCTATCAGGTCTTTATGTCCAGGAAGACAGCAGTACAGGGCAGTGAGAGGGTCAGCATGGTAGAACACATCTTAACAGGAACCACGCTGAGAATTTTGGGAGTAAGATGGGTCAGTGTTTGGAAATGTCATCTCAGGGGGAGGAGTTTGGAGAATTGGGCTGGGACCAAGGCTTTTCCCAGCAACCGTCCAACATCAATTGGATGGCTGCCACCATCAACAGTTGGCCAATATTTTTAAAAACGACTGGGCACTTTATAGCAAATTACAGGTGATAATTTTGGACGGCCTATACCCTGAAACCTGAGAAAAGCCCTAGCTAGGATATCTACTGTGAAAAACTTATGTATTACCTGTAAGCTAAAGCTTATAATACTAATGCCATTACCTCTAGTGAAAGGCATCTATCTTATACCAGAACCATCTGCCTGCTAAATAAGGTCATGATTTAACTCTTCAGATACAACAAGATATATCAATAGTGGAAGAGCTATGATTTCAACAAGTTTCTCTATAAGTCCACAATACTATATCCTTAATTCTCAGTTTCTCTACCCTCCCCCCCCCCCCATCTCCACTTTAACCCCACACCTGTCCTACAACTGAGTAGTCAACCTACCTGGTGGTCTCAGTTTACCTGTGTCTCAGGTGTACTATATCAAAGTGACTACAACCCTGTTATTGAAGACCAAAGAAAGAATTATATAACACTAGGAAATAAGACTCTATATGAAGTAGGAGAGACATGGACACTACAGGCACCACTGCCCCAGGGTGACTGGACCATACAGAGACATGGACACTACAGGTACCACTGCCCCAGGATGACTGGACCATACAGAGATAGGTGCAATGACCAGTGACACATCTGTTATTAGTGACCATAGATGGACATTGAACACATGGGGAATATTTCAATGTCAAAATAATACTGTCATTTCATATTAAAGAATTCTACAAAATCAATGTGGTTTCATTCTAATCATAAATATAATACATTTCAAATTTAAATAAAAAAATACAAAATTCCACAATCTAACAACTTTATTTTGAAAGTAGTTGTACCAGTAAAATTGTACACAATATTATACAAAGCAGTTTTAATAAACTGGGCCCACTCAACATACAAATATTGGAATAGACATTCAAAATGTGCTGGATACCATTTATCAATGCTCCTGTCCATTACATGTGTAAGTGAAAATTATGAGGCAATCGTTCTTAAAAAATAAAATGACCGACTACCACGGAAATTAAAATTAGATAAACGGGATTCGTAGGTGAGGCATCTTTAAAGAAGTTAAACTAAAACCCTAGAAATCCCATGAACAGGAGGGCTAGGGGAAATTAAATATTTTATCTGGTACGTAGGTATTAAACTTTCAGGTTGGTTGTAACTTGGGGTATAAGGGAATGGGGAATACTAAGTTTTATTCAAACTAGGCGGTCTGCCAGAGGAAGTACAACACGCTTTGACGGCCGCCTAGGAAGAAGTTTTCCAGATATTCCAGAGTATTTTCTGTCAAAATAAAACACTCACATCAACATGATTCACAAGTTACTCACCTGAACTATCGTAAATATCACATATGTTTTGCAAATGTTACGGAAGCTCTGTTTTTATCATCAACCTGCGCTGGATGTTTTCATTGCACGGTCCTCTCCCCGTGAACCAAAATGGCGGCGGCCACTATTGTAACACGGCTTCCGGTTGGCTGAATTCCTTTCAACATCTGCGCGCTTTCTACTACGCTGTGTGGATTCGGAAAAATAAGATAAAAATGGAGCATCAGAATAAACTTCCTGTGGCAGAAAATTACAAATTTAGAGCTTAATAACATTCAGGGCTTTTCAGATTGAGTGTTATGTTAGTAACGTCTAGATCAATAACTTGGAATCCAATGAAATTACATTTCACGGCGATAGTGGCGCCCTCTGTAAACAAGAACCATGTGCACGGATAGGGGCAATTATAATTCTTAACCGAAAGGAAAATTAAATTGTTTTATTTGAAAAATAAAAAAAATTGAAATTGAAATCGTCAAAAAAAACGAGGATTTCTAAAATTCATTAAAATCTATCTGTGCAATGTACGGTTCATTTGGAATTATAGTCTTGAAAGTTAAATATCTATTGCAATCGCAAAATAGCTTCGTCATAAATAAATAATGTTTCTCATTGTATGGAAAGGGGGTAATTACAATGTATTATACGGACCTTTATGAATGGGGGCGTGTTATTTTTTTTAATCTGTTCAAAAGTCGGCTATGTTGTCAGCAAAATCAAATCAAAATTAGTTAGTAAAATTTTCAGACATCATTTTTAATCTTATGCCAAGCATTTAACTCAAAATTGTGTTGAATATTAAGCCAACAAGTTTAAGGATTGAATATAAAAAGTGTGTATGCGTTGACCGTTTGTTAAAGGTTTTATACAGGCCCTCTGCCGTCCCCTTTCCTGTCTAAATTTCAGAAATCATCTATTTTAAGCGCCCAAGTAAAGTTACACATGTTATACCCCGGACCTTGCCCGGTGTCTACGTATCTACGTATTCTCACAGCAAACGGACTGAAGAACTCTGTCTGATCAAGTTAAATAACTCCATTTTCTGCCACCTTTCGTATAGATCAGTGCGCATGTGTTTGCTGGGTTACGTCCTTCATTGTGTTAGTTGTGACAGAGAAGCAATCAGTCTCTCGCTGCGATGAGCTGCCGTCTTCCCATCTTTACTACAAGATTATTTTGGAACAGTTGCAGCATTAAAATTTAAAATAAATAATCTGAAAGAAGAATTTTGCATTATTATTAAATGATGATAGGAATTTTGGATTAAGAGATTAGTTAAATACTGAGTAGTGATATTGCCAGTCAATTTATGTAGAATCTGATAATATAATTGAAAATACTGATTGAATTCTTTGCCTTGCACTGGGCAGTTTCACATTTGTGCCAAGTGCTTTTTGGACTCCATTGTACAGTGGTAAAAGTTCTTCAATTGCCATGAAAGTTTTTAATCAGACTCTGTATGGTGCTGCTATCTGCTGGTGCTATCGGCAACGAATTAGTTTGCCTTTGTTTCTGAGTGAATCTACCGTCTAAAATCACTATTTCTGAAAACATGTGCGTTTTGCTGAGGGTAGGCTAGGCAATACACGGCAAACTTCTTAGTACGTGTGTACAACATAATTTGTTTAAAAACTCTAGCGATATTTGGTCAGGAGTTTCTTGAAGCATAGCACATCGTTGCTGTCTATCGGCATCAGGCCGTTAGTTTGTCAATTATCACGAATTACCCACGAATCGCGAACCCATTCATTTTCCTATGGCAATCTAGCAACTCATCAAAAGTGCAAGCATGCGCAGTGGGCTAAGCGTGACGTGATGCAGTGCATTTCTGGGGATGAAATCGCTCAATTTTGTTACGCCTTAATAAACTTTAAATAAATCATACTTTTTCGCAACAAGGATACAAACATGTACTGTGCTACATGTATCAATAAAATGTTTGTTAAAAAGCGTTACATCATCAAAGGGATATAATGCTGGAATAGGTAATTCTTGTATAATAATTCATTTCATAGGTGGATACAACGAACATTTAGCTAGAATATACATGACTCATACATTTAACACAAATTGTACAAGCTACAAAACTTTGCTCTTGGATATAATCGTTTTTTTTTTTTTTTCTTTTATATTTATCCGGGTCTGAAGAGTGTGATTAACCGTACGTAGCCGCCGCGACTGATCTCAAGAATGCGAAGTACCAAGTTAATACGGCCACGACAATGGCCATACTGATCACGATGCCTGCTACGTTCAGCCCGAGAGCCACTTTGCCATGCGTACGTGCCGACTTGGAGTCCCCAGATCCATAATTACTCTGGGAAAGAACTGAAAAGAAGCAATCAAATTTGTCGACTAGTGATTTATTTCGCAATATAATCACATAAAGCTAAAGTTAGCATAAAACACAACACATACAATGTTCTTTATCTGCATATTAAAGATATAAACGTTGCATTAAAATCACTTCATTAGGGTAAGGGGAAAACGTCATCTTTCCTCGAAAAACAAGATTAGCTTGATATAAGGAAAAACGCATGCGTGTGAGTTAAATATTTGATATTTACAAAGAAACGTGTGATCGCGGGTCTATATGAAAAGGATAAGATAATCTGGCGGCTTTGGATCAGCCACCTGCGTTATGATCATATTTGTTGACACGGGTTGGTTGATAACAGCGTGCAGTGGCTGTTGTTGACCATAGTAACCAGGGGGCTGTTGACCATACTGGGGCATATAGTTGCCTTGCTTCTCGGACATGATTCTACGAAAATGGAGATATTATGTTTTTCATTTTTTCTTCTAATGTGTTACTTTCTTCTTCAAAATAAAATGATACTCGTGCTTGGTTAGCAACGTGCGTCTAACTTTTGCCATTTTCAGGCAGTTGTACTTAGCAAGTTACGATAAAAACTCAAGTTGAAAGTATGGAACTCGTAATGGTGAATTCGAAATATGGTAATTTTTCTCGTCAGTCGGGAAAGAAATTCAGTAAAAGTATACGGAAAATTCATTTTACAGATTGAAAAAGTATGAGAAATTGAGTGACTTTTTCATAAGGGAACGGATGTCAGAACATTTAAATTGTTTTTTATCTCTGTAGATCGCGCTCTCAGTGTATCCTATTATTTTATGCGTATCAATACCTAACTATCCGTTTATCAAATATTAAAAGTCGACCTACATTTAAAGTGAGCGTCGATGGAGCGTGGATTCTCAGTTTCGAATATAAACCACTTGTACTAGTAGTAGTCTTATACGACTCATATTAAGTCGACATGCCAAGAGATGTAACACCCCATTTCCATAGATTAGATCGACCTACTTTAGATCGACCTAACTCCCTGGGGGTTCACCCTAAATAGCTGTCAGCCGGGCGGACACGAAAGTTAATTATCCCCTTACAGCTTGTAGTAGGCGGGACGGACATTTAAGTCGGATTATCAGAAAGTAATCTAGTGAGACTCCCCGCGGGGATAGATCGATCTAAAATCTATGGGAATAGAGCCTAAATTACACTATTTGAAATTATAAGGTGGCACAAAATATACTTTCGCTTTTATTTAATCACCATTTATTATCCAATGACTTTAAGTCAGAGCAAGTCAGAACAAGTTGATCCGCGGACTTACAGAACCGCGAATTAACAGAACCGCGGACTAAATATGGCTGACCCACTTAAAAGCAATGCCGACTAATCCCCTAATGTTCTCCCGGCCTCCACACGCGCCGTCGATACAGGGGCATAGCAATTAAATCTCGGAGCCGAGATTTAATCCGTTTAATGGCGCGTGTGGAGGAGGGGGGAAACCATCAGGGGATCAGGCGGCTTGCTTTTAAGTGGGATCGGCCATATTTAGTCAGGGGATCAGTCAGTTCGCGGATCATCTTTTCTGAATGCAAACTTAGTAAGTGCTCCTCTTCCTTGATTTAGATAGAAACCAATTTAATAAATCGGTGATAAATTCTCAAAACTTCACCCATCCTTTCCGTACCCCCTACCCTATCCTTGTTGAAATTAACCCTTAAGGATAATGAATATGATTAATTTTCTTAAGGCTAAAATAATCATTCAATAAATGAACTGCTGAAATTATTCATGGTATTAGAATTATTGAACACATGCCAGAGATCCGCTGATTCGGTTGGCAGTCGATGTGGAGCAATTAATTTGTAATACACTAGCAAATAAACATAAAAATATTTCACAATATACCTTTTCAATCTTTTACAAAAGACAAGCCTATTGAAACCACGAGTAATGTTAAATTCTATAAAAGGAAAATTTTGCAAATGATGAAATACTGTTCTGTTGACACTGAAGAGCTAGTTCACGGTTCAATGTACAGGTAGTTTAGGCCTATAAATGTATACCAGCGGTATGCTACAATGTACACGCCCGTTCGAAAAAAAATCCAAAATTTATACTTTATATTTTTTACCCTTTATGTGTTAGAGACTGAGTTCGATTTTCAGATCGCGGGAATCTCAGATTTTTATTTTAGTTGCCAAGACATGCACAAATCGGCTAATAATCTTCTTTAGTGTCTTAATTGATCTATTGCGGACACTGGCCAACACTGTTTAAAAACACCTGGTTAGTGAAATGAACAACCCTTTTCACTAAACTGTAAGGCCTTTTTTTTTAATTTTCATATATCAAAGACTTAATGTAACAGTCAAAGAAACATTTCATCAACTTACCCTCACTTTTCAATCAATCGCAGTTTTTATTGCATTGGTACAATAAAGATGAAAAGACACACCTTATAGGCTAGATTCCACTTTTATATCGTTCCACTAACAAAAGACTGCATTCAGATCCGCATTTAGGGAAGGCATGCTTTTTATAATAATGCAATCAAGCATCACCAGGCATGAATACAGTTGTGTATGATTTGAATATGGTTAAAATATTTACTTGAAAAGGGGCGTAAGCCAACCTATAGCTAACTATAGGCTACTGGAAGAATTAAGCAGACCTGGTTTAATTATGAAAGTACTTCTTTTGTTATAGGCCTACCATCTTTTTTCACCTCAGCCATATTTTCTTTACACTGTTTGCACTGTACTGACTGTAGGCTTATTTCTGTCTTTGGGCAGGTTTCTCCGATGTTTGTTGGACACATTCAGATATACATGAGACAGGTTACAATGACTAGACCTGTAACCTTTACAGACTATGTTGCTCGTTCATAAATGGCTGTTTATTATAAAAAAGAGAGAAAAAGTGAATGAGGTTCCCATCAACGTTTTTCAGTACCAAGGTATGCCCCATTCGGTCTATTGGAATACCCCATCCCAAGCCGATGACATTATATCGCATCTCTTTTTTCAAACGTGTTTGTTTTTCATTCCATGCCAGAAGGATTCTTAATTTTAGCCTCATCCAACAGGGATTCTAGAATCACACAGCTCATTGTGTTAGTTGTGACAGAGAAAGAATCAGTCTCGCTGCGACATCACACAGCTCATTGTGTTAGTTGTGACAGAGAAGCAATCAGTCTCTCGCTGCGACACCACAGACACCACACAGCTGTAGGCCCGGTTGCACCAACAGCTCATGAATACGTCAGGCGTAGCAGTTACGCCAGAGTTACTACAGCGATGTGCAAACGTACGGCAGAGAAAAGCCGCAACCAAACAACAGACGTGCGCCAGAGAACACCTGCACCCCCGCCCCCCATACATAGGCGTACACAGAGACGCGTGACGCAACTCGCCCAACACACACACTCACACACGCACGCACACACACACACACACAAACAGACGCAGTACACACACACACACACACACACACACACAAACAAACAGACGCAGTACACACACACACACACACACACACACACACACACAAACAAACAGACGCAGTACACACACACACACACACACACACACACACACACACA